TATATCAATATTAATATTGAAAGGGGGAAATATCGCTATACTAACGGCCAGACTGAACAGTAAGTATGCAGTAAACATTTTACATAGAGACATATCATGAACGCCAACAAAATAATAATTGCAATTAAGCTTAATTAAAAAAGCCATTGCTCACGAACGGTTTGCTAACTTCAACGGAATTTCATATATAAACATATTATTTCACTTTAAGTCAGTATCTTTCTCTTATTTCTTAATTCAAATAACGTTCATAAACAATGTCTTGATAACATAGCTACCTCTCAGCATGTAAACTAGAATATAAAGATACTCATGGCTCATTATTTCTATATATTATATTATGATCAGATCCAATAGAACAATCTACTTCCCATGGGCTGACAAGCTTCATATTTACGACACCTCAAATGAAAATAAAATTCTTGGTAGAAATATTCACTGCTAAGAAATAGGCTCATACATCCCGTACTTAGGTTAAGCAATATGCTTTCTAATTACTATTAGAATTTAAAAACAGCAGCAGTAAAAAAAACATCAAATACTAAGCAAAGAAAATTAAGAAAATGTTCTCACATGTAGAACTTGGATTGTCTGTGTCAGCTGTTTATGTTTCTTGCGTTCCTCAGTCAGCTGTAATTTCAGGGTAAAATGTTCCCTAATATAATATTCATTTATGTATTAAATTGGATAAATATGTTAAGATAAATGTGGCAATTGACATGGTAAAGAATGCCTTTATTTTAACACAGGTATTAAATTGTCTTTTTTCATTGGAGAACAAGATGCTTTTAAATATCTTTATCAATATTTATTGATTTATTATGATTGAATGTTTTGGTCATAGCACACACTAAGGGTCTAGAAGGACAATTAAAGACAATCTCAAGAAACCATAATCATGGTGCTCGGATCGTGATATATCTAAATATGTAAAAAGATCTTTGAATCTACCTTTTCAATGTGTAGTTTTGCTTGGTTCCCTTCAGAAAGGAGTTTTGACTTTAAGTCTTCAATGTCTGATTGTAATTCCTTCTCCACAATCCCTGACAGTAGCCTCTCTGTAGCTTCTGGATCCTTATCCATAATCTCTTCTACATAAAAGAAGGAAGAAAAATAAAACAAAATATAAAAACCTTTCTGTTGCTCAGGTTTGGTATAATCAGTTTCTTTGAATGTGCTACTTGGAGCAAAGGATATGAGAGATATTGTTGAGGGTTGGCTGTAAGTATTTAGTGTAGCATTCCAAGCCAGTCAAGTTGTGTACCTTTCATGGCACTGGTCACCTGTTTGGCAGTTTATTTCGGATTTGAATTCATTTACAAATATAAAACAATAGTTTTTTGAAGCGTCTCCATTTGAAGGTACATATCGATAGTGTATTTATATACATACTCGTAGTTAATACATATACAGTAGTTACAAACAGAAGAAAGAATATATTTAACTGAACTATTTGATCTCTCTGTTACACCTGACAAATATAACGTATTGTTGGAACACAAACAAACAGTGCTTGAACAAGCAACCTGCTTCTATTATATCTCATAAGATCCTTAAAATTAAAATTAATTGAACTAGTTATTGATAAAAACAACGAAATATCTTAATCTATGAGAAATTTACTTTGTTTCTTTAATTTCTCTATTTCATGTTTAACCATCTGTAGATCATTGTAGGTAGATGACGATGCTTGTTCAAACTGTTCTACGTCTTGCCTGTATTTTTCTGTTTTCTCTAGTTGTTTCTTTAGATTTCTAAAACAAGCAATGTTTGTTTGGTAGAAAATTCAAGTCATACTGAATGTGTTTTATTCTGTACTGCAGGAGAAATATCCAATAGGTCACATGCCTTATTTACGGCATGCATGGAATAATTAAACATAATAGCTTTGGAATGCAAGATGTCATTCATTGCCCTTGGAATTACTAAAACGTCAAAGATAGGTCAATTGAATTAAAGCTCTCTTAACTATTGTTAATAAATGAATATAAATACCGGGTACACGGAAAACTACTAATAAGCCCGCGCTAAAAACTTTGAGATAACATAAGGAAATGGTTATTTTGAATGACAAACAAATTAAATTTACGGAGAGAGAACCTTACAATTTGTTGGCATTTGGCCTTCGATTTTGATACCCCAAGATATCAGTCGACCGTTCGGCTCTACAATTCATTATCCTGAATTTGTTTGCATAATGTTTAAAATTTAATGTCTTAGCAGTAGTTTGCCTTATTCATTTCTTTCAAAATTATTTACCATCGCTTGTTTCAGCCATATATTGCACCGATTTTGCGTTACTGTTGCTCAGTCACCTAGTTATTGTCGCATTACTATGTAACGGATATATATAAGACACCTTAAAAGTATGTCTTCTGTGGAATCTGTCTAATTTACCACTTTCTTTATTTTGTTAATCCAGGCGGTCTTTAATATACCCTTAATGTACCAAAAACAAATGCATAGTGTTTTTGCAACAGTAACACAATTTTAATGCAAAGAAAACTGTACAAGTAAAACATGTAAAAGTTTCGAAAAAAAAGTAGTTATTTTACCCAGTGCTACACGTGTTGTACTTTACTCCTATCCTTTCCAAGTTTGTAAAAATATGACTTTGATGGAAATCAATCGTGTTAACGTATATAACAGTAATATTTGTGATACATCATTATTATATTAGAAATACATGTACCTGGTTTCTATGTCGGCTTTATCCTTTAGATGAGATAACTCTTGTTCTTTGTCCAATACCTTTGTTATCAATGACTTAATCTCTGGAAGAAAATATAATTGTAGTTTAAGGATCAAGTATATATCGTTGTGTAAATAACATTATCATACACACAACTTTACGGTTCCATATCATTATGCAGAGGCCAAAATTCAGTTTTTAAAAAATGGCAAATGAAATATGTGTATCATACATGTTCGTTCTTATACGATAACTCCAGTTTTACGTTGACACTCTTGTACACACAATAAAAATCCTCTATTCTTTCATTAGAGACGGACACAACGTGCTGAAAGATGATTGATTCTATCTATATGGTTGGAATATTTGCTAGTTTAGTACCTTGTGTCACACTCCACCAATAAAACTGTACAGTTGCAAACTAAACCAAGAAAACGACAAAATAATTACTATCTATTACCAAAGCAAGTTTGACATCACTTAATACAGCACAAATAAAATACCGTAGTCCATAAACTTGATTCTTTTACTGCTATCTTTACTTTCCTCTTCTTTCATAAAGATCTTGTTCATCACACATTTTATTTCAAGTTTTATCTCCTCCACCTTTTCGTCACCTGTGTATTATTCACGAAGATTACATTTTCAACATGTTACATTGATAAAATACATGTATAAGCAACATTGCAATAGTAATATTAATATTATAATGGAGAAAATATTCATTATTTATTAATTTATGACTGACGAGTAAGTTATCTTTTAACAATCTTATACAGGAGTGTGAATCAAGGTTTTGTAACCTATTTAAATAAATTCCGAGTAGCAAGGTGATGATATCCGATTAGGACTCAAACCTTCAACAGCTGGACTAAAAGGCAGACATACTAAAAGTAGTCCAACACTCCTCCCACTTTGACTAATTTGTCACTAGTGTTGGTATTGATATATCTACTCAGACTATGATGAATAGTAAGTAAAATGTTCTACACACTTGTATAATTGTATAGTAAATGTATTTATACTAGTATATTGAACACATAACGTAATTATCACATTAAAACGAATTAATTACAAAACAAATAATGATGGTTAATCTATACTGTTTTAATTCTTACCCTCTTTCACCTTGTCCTAAAACAAATAAGTTAAAACTTTAAGCACATTTTAAAACATAATAACTTAGGATGGCATTTTCCTTTAACTTTACATTTATCAAATTATACTTGTTTATGAGATAAAATATTAAAAAAACTATTGATTTTCGTAAATATTTTGTAATATGGAGACACCCTAAAGTTCTTACACATCTGATTTCTGCAAATTTTGTTTTAGAAAATACATTTTGGAAATGAGTAAAAAGGCATATAAAAATTTAAGAAACAATCGACTAAAGATGTACACAAAGTTTACTTGTTACAACTTTATTTAAAAACAACAACAACTTTTATGACACCAACTGTGTCACAGTACTAGTCACACTCACCTGTATGATGGTCAAATGTTTTTGTTGTCGTTTTATTTCACTATTTTGGTCCTTATTTAATGAGAACACCTGAGATGCTATATTTGGCAGGTCAGACACTGCTCTGTCAACAAGACCGTCTTCAAACTTTAACAACATTTCAGTATCTGATAGAAATGAACATGCAAAATGAGGAACAATGTAGATTAATATTTATGATATAAGAAAATAATTTGTTGAACAATGTAGGCCTTTTGGCCTATACTAGTTTGAGCATTTCTATTATGTTCCCTTTGTGTAAATTTATGGATTCAAAAGTTTATATAAAATAAAAATTATATATCACACTACATGTAATTAATTGTCTTCTATAATCTTGAAATTGAATGTGTCTTTCATTAGATGTTATATATTTCAAAAATCTTACATGAATAATGAATTATATCCTATATTTCATCAATGAATGAGATCATTTGGTTATGTCAGCAATAAAAGGAGTTAGACTAATGATTTGTCACCTGTGACAAGCTCTACTCACTCTACACCCCACTTCTCAAAAACAAACTGAAGAATTTTCTATAAAAGGTGTTTAAATCTTCGATAAATGTATTTGATTTTTATTAACTGTCCTGCATTTGAAAGAAAGAATTGTTTTTAATGTTTCTTTGTGTTTAAGTATATAAGTCATGCCACACAATATCCAAATGGGTCTACAACGTTTTGTACATTTTAGAATTCTGTAATGTACTCAAGGCACTTATTCAATCATATGACAGTTGTTCAGCTGTAAGCAGTGTATTATTAAAGAAACATAAATATACACCCAAAGGCACTCTGCTCGCCAACAAACACAAACAAGAGATAACTGACCTTCATGACCTTTTGTAACACGATTTTTGGTATCCGCATACACAGGATTTGCAGTAGAAATAACATCAAATGCAATCACACGTTGTGGTCTGGGAGGGCTAAACAAGATATATATAATATATCTGCATCACATAACATAACGTAAACATCATTTAAACATAGTTCTGTTCAGTACATGACTAAGTAATCAAATTAGAAAATATTCACATTTGAGTTCCTTCCCTTCTTTTACTAAACGCCATTTGCTTGAACAATTTGAATGGTAAAACTTTTGGGTTTTATCAATCGTAGTTTAATAATTACGTAATAGTAATCTAAAAAGAATTTATGCTTGTTTTGTATCTAACTATCTGACTTAAATTATTGCAAACCTTTCCAGTCCTGCGTCAGTCATTTTAACAGCGAAACGTTTGATTTTATCTGGTCTTAAAACTGCAGACGTCTCTATACAGTTACTTCCCTTCTTATCTCTTCTAAATGCCGTACTAACACGGACTACTAAAATATATTGACAAGAATAAATGATAACGAAACTGTTGAGCATGGTTAGGACATGTTACCATATTTTTAAGATATTTAGATTACAGTTTGAATATACATGTTGGTGTTTTAGGCCAAATGTAATTTGGTAACTTATACATGTAACACATAAAACATCACCATAGACATAAAATCACAGGTAAACGTTGCGTGGCCATGACTTACACTAAACCCCCGTTCCCCCTCTACAACCCAAAACCCTAAAAAAAAATTATGAAAAAAAATTTTTTTTATGACTTAAATATTATAAAGGTATTTTACTCTACTTTCATTTTGCATAGAAATATCACTAGCATCTCAATTATCAGCGCATATATTCATCAATTTTTCACCGATCTTAACAATCTTGGTCTCAAATCTTAGATAAATAAATACTCTTTAAGAAAACAACACTGGCACCTTCGCTGATTATACGTAGCAAGAAATATCCAAGCCCAAACTGTCAACAAATGAAACTCGGAAGAGATCTGATTGCACCGTTTCGGTAAAACTCTCACGAGTAAAACACACTAAATTCACCGTGAAAGAATATTTCTTTGTATTGCGTATTTAAATATGATAAAATTAAGTTATTATTTATAATAATTGTTCAATCAAAGCATCTTATGAAACTATTACGCACCTTTTTTCCTATATGTCAAATTCTAATTCCAAAATGAAAGTAAAATGGGCCTGCAAATTGTTTTCAAATGGAGTATTTTCATTGGTCACAGGAAAACCTCGGACCAATGAAAATACTTAAAGGGAAACAACTCTGCTGTGCCAATTTACTTTCATTTTGGATTGAGAATTTGACATATAGGCAGCACACCACACTAAATGAAGCCGCAGCTTCGAATGGCCAGGGAGGATTTCATTGATATAGTGACTATTGTGGATTTAAATGACTGGTTGTCTTTAAAATGCATTTTCAGCATGAAATTTGTTTTTGTGACATGTAATATGATCATTGGCAAATTCGAAAACATGGTTAGAAATCACATGCTGATAATTATTGATGTCAAGGTCGCCATTGTTTGTAAACATTGCTTTTAAACAGCATGCTCGGTGAAAACAAGTAATTTTACAGGGGGGTACAAACTTTCAGCAATAGCAAAAAATCTACAAGGCCAAGCACCTATTTCTTTGTGATATTTGCATGCATAGGGGGTTTGCTAAAGTAGTGGCAGAGTTTTTGTAGAGACCGTATATTTGCAGGTATTTTTTGCCGAAGGGACGAAAAATGTTATTTTGGGTCTCGGACCACTATAGATTTTTGGCTTTTACGGAATGAATTGGAATTTTTTTAACTGCCTGACTGTTGCATATGGGATGATTTCATTACAGATTTGCAATGGTATGACATATATGTTCTTAACAAAATGTGTTTTCTTTTTCCAGGTTGTGTAGTTTGGGATCAGATTTATCAGACATATTGCTTGTAGGACATTGACGGCAGAAACTTGAAATTTAGTGTGGAGTGCTACCATAGGAAAAAAGGTGCGTTATAGTTTCATAAGATGCTTTGATTGAACAATTATTATAAATAATAACTTAATTTTATCATATTTAAATACGCAATACAAAGAAATATTCTTTCACGGTGAATTTAGTGTGTTTTACTCGTGAGAGTTTTACCGAAACGGTGCAATCAGATCTCTTCCGAGTTTCATTTGTTGACAGTTTGGGCTTGGATATTTCTTGCTACGTATAATCAGCGAAGGTGCCATTGTTGTTTTCTTAAAGAGTATTTATTTATCTAAGATTTGAGACCAAGATTGTTACGATTGGTGAAAAATTGATGAATATATGCGCTGATAATTGAGATGCTAGTGATATTTCTATTCAAAATGAAAGTAGAGTAAAATACCTTTATAATATTTTAGTCATAAAATTTTTTTTTATATTTTTTTTAGGGTTTTGGGTTGTAGAGGGGGAACGGGGTTTAGTGTAAGTCATGGCCACGCAACGTTTACCTGTGCATAAAATTAAACACGGTCATGCCAGTACCAGAATGAAAATTACCTGTTTTTGATGGCTGAATAAAAATTCATTTATTTAGCCATATGTTTATCAAAACATTTAATCATACCTTGAAGGCATCTGTTTTGGCTCAGACTCATCAGCACATGTTATTGCTTACACGTTTATTGATATTTGCCGCCGGGACGAACCCATAGGGGCCAGACAATCTGCGCACTTGCTGGTTCGGACGTAAAGCCCACATCAGCGGGACATCTCAAACTTTTCTTGCTATGATCTCATTCTTCAGATTAAGTAAATCATATTATAAAAATGGTCATTGTTGTATGTAGAACTTTACTTCCGCTGAAAATGATCTTTTTAATCTTTGATTAAATACAAAGTAACTGCAGCGCGCATTTTCCAAAGTTAGAATTAATCCGAAATAGTCTTTTAAGAAAATCCCAGCTGATGCAATAATAAGGACCACAAAAAAATGAAGAGTTAACTTTAATCCATCTAAATCCGAGTCAATGATTATATCAAGAAGAATTAATAAACCACATCACACACCTTTCTCCATGTATGGCCAACAAATCCCTCAAGTTTCTGTTTACAAACATCTAGGAGTGTTTTTTTCTGATGATTGCTCTTGGCATTCCCATATCACTTATATAAAAGAAAAGGCATGGAATAGAATAAACATAATGCGTAAACTTAAATTCAAACTAGACCGAAGGTCTCTAGAAATCATTATTATATACATCCTTCATTCGTCCTATTATTGAATATGCTGATATAATATGGGACAATTGTACATCCTACGAAAAACAAGAATTAGACAAAATTCAAAATGAAGCAGCACGTATTGTGACGGGTGCAACAAAGCTGATATCGTTAGCTGATTTATACAATGATGTAAATTGGGAATCACTTTCTGACAGAAGAAGGAAGCATAAGCTTATTCAACTTTACAAAATGAAAAATTGTCTCATTCCATCCTATCTATCGTCTATTGTACCAGATCTTGTTGGCCTGAATACTACATATAACTTACGTAATTCTCAAAATAGCTATACAATTCGTACAAGAACAACTCTATACTATAACTCCTTTCTACCAACGGCACTTCGTGAATGGAATTCCTTACCGATTGAAACCCGTCAGCTACAGTCATTGAATTCTTTCAAAAGCTCTTTGAACGAAGACAAAATTAAAACTCCCCGACACTTCTATTATGGAGATAGACGGTCACAAATTCTTCATACAAGACTTAGAACGAAATGCAGCTCTCTTAATCACCACTTGTTCTTAAAAAATATAGTATCATCTCCATTATGTAGTTGTGGCCTAATTGAAGACAACCACCACTTCTTCTTTACTTGCAAGAATTACACACAAATAAGAAATGCACTTTTTCAAACTTTGACTCCAATATGTTCCATTGATCTTCGAAAGGATTATCAAACAAACACATGGATATTAGATGCAGTATTTGAATTTATAAATAGCAGCGGACGTTTCCACTAGATGTATTTTATACTACCATCATTTAATATACTGCAATATCTCCAATTTGACCTCTGTTCGTTAGTCTGGTCTTTCCAATATTTTTTGTCTTCTTTTGATATATATTTAATATACACATAATATTTTTCTGGTTAGCTTAAAATAGTTAATTTCTAGACTTTTGCTAAATTTGCTTTAAGCGCCAGTCTAAATAAAAAAATACTTATCTTTGTCTGTTTTCTTTTGCTTAGTACTCATCTGAAAATTGTCTTATTAAGTTGCATTCCTAATTTCTTTTTCTTTTTTTTTCATTGTTTATGTTTAAACTAAATCTTGCAATATTCTTACTTAATAATTTAAATGAAATAGCTATCCTGCCATATATGTTTGTGTAAATATCATTTGTTATCTAGGGAGAGGAACTATATAAGTTTTCTTTCGTTCTAATCCCTTTCAATTTATGTAACAATTATTCACATATAAAATGTAATATATGTAAAATATTGAAATAGATATGTTTAAACTAAAAAAATGAAGGGGATATCATATGGACCATATTCAAACTATGGCCCTGTCAAATTTAATTATAACACTGACATGAGTTTTTGATGGTACTGAAAGCTTTTGGCATTTCTCTCTCATTGTAATTCTTTCTTGTTTGTGTGTAGATAATAATCAGTAGTTTTTGGGTATTTACCCGTAAGTAAATATGTTGGTAGCGAGTCTCTAAAAGAATGTAAGAAAATTGAATATCAAGCATTGACAGATGGCGACATACAAGTAAGAAACTTTGAATATTTTTTGTGAACAATCTATAAACGTATGATTGACAGTTAATTAGGCATTTTTGAAAATGCTATATATTTTATTGTGTGTAAGGGAATCGGGCGAATTATTGAATATCCTGCACCTTCATGAAGATTATTAGTATATTTCAGATGTGATTTTTGGTGTTTTTTTTTGTCTTTAGGAGCAATGCGTATTACCAACAACAAGAATTAATCTTTTTAGTATTGTCAGTTAATCTAAGTAATTAAGTCAAATTAACTTTGAACCTTTGTAAGGAGTAATGATTAAAGCTCTTGATAATTTCAGATTTTTGTTAAAGTACATCAATAATTTGTACAGTGTATACATTCTGCATTCAATACATTTGTTAACACTTTGTTATTTCTACGTTGAATTAACTGACACATTTTACATATTAGTCCCTAATCATTGTGACATTGCTTATTTCATTATATTATTACATGTATGTGCACAAGCTGGAAATAAACTTTTCTTCTTCATGTGTCATAAGGTACATGTAGTATTCATCAATAAAAAACATGAATAAATATTGGTTGTTTTTCCTTAAATGCAAGATGGATCTAGTAACATATTCTCTTCTCACATCAACCTGTACTTAAACTTAGTCATTATTAAGCCAGTAGTCCCGTTATCCTATTATTATACTCCTATAGTAACATTTACTAACCGTACAGTGATATTTACGGGTGTGGTAATGCATCATTGTATTCCGTCACTGATTTCAAGGTGCATAAACATATAGTAACTGTTGTAGAATACAACAAACTGTACTGTTGGGGCGTTACTGACGTAGGGCTGCCTTCTCGAACACTATTTAATACGATACTGAAATAGACTATTTTCAAAGTGTGCCGTGCCTCAGTCTTTCCATGTTTCAAAAGTGAATAATTTAAGAAAAGGTTACTCCCGAGTAAAATTGAATGTATCAAACAATGCAGACTAACGGAAATTGACATGTGAAGCATCATGGTAAAATATCGACCCAGTCAGTGAACCTTTTCGATTTCGTACTTTGTACTTTGAAAATCAAATAGATATATTTGAATCTCTTCTTTAAGGTCTATTTAGTTTTTAAGAGAGACTTACTGTACTTCAATTTTAGCTTTTACAAGCACGAGTTTTTTCCCTTGTTAAGCAGACATCTCCCAATAATTTTGATAATTACAGAACTGTGCATTTTATTTAATTAGGTGTTTGAAGTGATTTCTACCCCGCGAACATCGCTACAACTAAGCTAACCTTTGTGTTTCGATGCTCTTTCAATTATACTAGTTGTTCAAAAGAAAATTTAGCTTATTGTATTCTGAAACCCTGAGAGAAATAATACAATGGAACGTGTTCGTGTGTGCGTGCGTGTGTGGTATATTTACCATCGCAACCATTTCTTTCATAAAAAATATCAATCGGTTTCCATTTGCAAAATTGTTACAAACTCATTAAGCGTATTATTCTGGCCTTTGTACTTACTGCAATGAATATAGCTGCTGAAAAATCAGCGCTTTGACAATGCAGTCTAATGCAAAATCAGCTAGTCCGTCCGTGCCGCATGATATTAATCTACAATGTTCAATATCCGGTCACTAAATATTTTGAAACTTTCCCTAAAGTGAAAAATGTTTTATCCAGATTGAAAGATGAACTAGTCATTTTTTGATATTTAATGTGGTTACGGTTTTAAAAATCATCATAGAATAAATGAGCCATGCTGTTCTCTAAAAGTTTCTTTACTTGTAAAATGGTTGGTAAGCGAACAGCATGGATCCTGATCAGACTGCGCGGATGCGCAGGCTGGTCTGAAGCCATGCTGGTCGCAAACGCAATATGTTGGTTTTGTCGTGACGCGGCTCAAATATGCTTTATCTTACAAAATGATGTTCAATGATAGTACACACTTACCAAATCATCCGATAACAAACAAACCCAGCAAACAGTTGATTTATAGCATAGGAACAATCAGGAAAGTATAATTATATGTTTATTAGCATACAAGCTGTCTTATATCCTGTTAAAAGTATACCCATTAGAATAAGCATGCACTTCTGGGGCACATTCTTTATTACCAATAATGAGTCCCTTGATGGTAATAGTTTGCAATCAAAAACAGCAAGATAAAATGTTTATACTCCTAATGATTTTTGTGTAACAAAACTGATTGTTTACCAGGTTTGTGCCATCAGAATAACATTATATATACAACCGAAGACAACGGAAACAATGTGAAATTATATGAAGACAATAAATTGCGATTGTACCTCACAAATGTTCTTTGCAATACCCAGTCGCAATACACAAATTTGAAGAAAACAAATTTAAAGCAGAATGAGTTTGTAAACTATAAAATCTTAGTGTGTCTTTCCGACAGAAATCTGTATTCTATACAAATATTAACGTCAATTATACATTCAAAGATTTATTGAAATACAAATTATATCCACTGCATGAGTGCTTTGTATAGTAATAAGTTCTGCATCTGTCACTAGATTATATTTTATACTAATGTAAGATTTAAAACTAATACAAGCAGAAAACAAGACTTGAATTTAAATACCTTCGATTCCTCATAATCTGATTTAATATATCTTTAAGCACACGAGGAAAATATTAAGGATAAGCCCTGAATTTCTTACGAAATCTTAAATTAATTTTATTATTATGATCAATGTCATATTGAAGCGATACTGAGTCGTTTGTTTCTTGTATATTAATTTTTGATTACATGTCCTTCTGGTATCTTTATTTTAGGGCCACTGTGTCTTTGTTGTATTCACATTTTCGGGTCACCATTCGCTTCTTGTATCTGCATCTTTTGGTAAATAAGTACTTTTTGTATTTTTAATTTTGGTTACTTTTTGCATCTCGTATTTTCTCTTCTTGGTTACTATGTGCTTTATTGATTTTTTCGTTACTATGTGCTTATTTGATTTTCATTTTTTGGTAAGCATATGGTTCATGTGTCTTCATTTAAGGGTTACAACTACATGTGGTATGTACATCTTGTATCTTCACATTTGGGTGTCAATTCGCTTCTTACATGTATATCGTTAGTTTTCACTTTGCCTGTTTTGCTTCTTGATTAGGTAACCCTTACCAAAAAAAAGGCTCTCTGGTGAACATTGCGGCAAGTTTGCCGCAAACATTGCGGTGAGTTTGCGGTAAACTGCTTTCAGCAATTATTTACCATGCAAATGAGGTTTGCGGCAAATTTGCCGCAACTAATGAGGTTAGCGGCAAATTTGCCGCAAACTATAGGGGGCGGTAGCTTCTGTTTGCGGCAAATTTACTGCAAACCTCATTTGCATGGTAAAAGTTTGCAGATGTTCGCCAAAAGTTTGCGGCAAATTTGCAGCAAACTTCATTTGCATAGTAAGTTTGCGGAGGTTCGCCAGAAGCTTTTTGGTAACACTGCAGCGCGAACTTCATTTGCATATTTGCCAGTTTCAGCAAATATGTTCTGGCGATATTTTGGCGAACATTTTGGTAAAGTTCTGGCGAACAATTTTTTTCAAAATTGGAATAATTAAAACTAGCTGAATTATAAGAAAACAAATACATATTGGTTTAACACATTTTTTCAATAGAAAATAAAAGAAATATTACAAACATATCAGTAGAATAAAATGAAATTTGATAAATTTGTAAAATAAAGAAATTAATTCCCCAGTTAAAAAAAAGAGATAAATTTTACACACACATTTTATTAGCAACTGATTCTTTACATATTTGACTTTCATAAATTTCCACTCTTTAGTTATGATGCTATCATGCATTGTTCATATTACTTAATAATCAATTAAAAACAAGAGCCTATTGAACCAGGGTGATCCTCCCCCGACTAGGATTTGGACACAGAAAAGTATATCTTTTGAAGTTTCAGGGTTATGTTCCAGACAAAGTTCAAAGTCTGATAATTCCAAAATAGTTGTAAAATCACACTTCAAATAACGACACTATGGGCCAGACACATTTTTGCTTCAAGGTCATGCTGTGACCTTGACCTTCAAGGTAATGACCCAAATGTTTGCGTGTGACATATCATCTCAATATGGTGATCACTTCGGTGAAATAGTTGTAAAATCCGACTTCAAATAACGAATTTATGGGCTGGACACCATTTTGCTTCAATGTCATGTTGCGACCTTGACCTTCAAGGTATTGACCCAAATGGTGTGTGCAACACATCGCCTCAATATGGTGATCATTTCTGTGAAATAGTTGTAAAATCCGACATCAAATAACCAAGATATTGGCCGGACACAATTTTTGTTCAAGGTCACGGTGTGACCTTGAACTTCAAGGTAGCGAACCAAATGTTGCGGGCGACACGTCGTCTCAATATGGTGATCATTTCTGTGAAATAGTTTTAAAATCCAACTTGAAATAACAAAGTTATGGGCTGGACACGAATTCGGGTTCGTATGTACGTACAGACAGATGGACAGACAACCCGATGACTATATGCTCCCCCGAAATTTTTCGGGGAGCATAAAAACAATGTTTGACAATAGCTATTATTCAGCACATGTTGCAGTATTTCTTAGCACCAAAAATGGGAAATATAATATTGTTGTAAAAGCTAAAAATCAGAAAAGTAACAGTTTGAAATCTTCTATCTGGACAAAAAGTTTCATTCAAACATGAACTGGCATGGAATAACATACATACTTCGACATCCACTTAGACAAATCACTATTAATAACAATAAATACTAACAATAGCGTTATGTGTTATGCAAAAACAAACTAGACCAATAATGGCTTTCAAAATTGTAAAAATGAATCTCAAAAATATATTTTGGTCTTATACAAACAGCATATTTCATGGACAAAATACCTTCAGATTTAAACTCATGCCATATAACATTATGATTGTGAGCAAAACAATATCTGACACGAACAATTATGGCTTTCAAAATTGTTAAAATTAATCACAACAATATATTTGGGTCTTATACAAACAACTAATTTCATAGACATAATTTTTTTGTTTGTTTGTTTTGGGTTTTTACGTCACATCGACACAGTATAGGTCATATAGTGACGTTCAGGTGCCCTTCCTTGCATTATTTCAGGCACGAACGGGTATCTGAGTAGAACCACCGACGTTCAGTTAAGCTAGCTGGATAGCTTCCTCACATGAAAGAATCCAAAGTCCCTGTCGGGATTCCAACCCACAGTGGTGAGGGGCAAGTGGTTTGAAGTCAATGACCTTAATCACTCGGCCAAGGATGCCCCTCATAGACATAATAACTAAAGATTTAAACTAAATGTCTTTAGTCATGTCATATAACGATTGCAAGCAAAACAAAAACAGACTAAAGCAATAATGGCTTTTAAAATTGTAAAAATGAATCTTAACAATATTTTTGGGTCTTATACAAATATAGACATAATTATTAAAGATTAAAACTAAATGTCTTTAGTCATGTCATATAACGATTGCAAGCAAAACAAAAGCTGACTAGAACAATAATGGCTTTCAAATGTGTAAAAATGAATCTTAACAATATATTTGGGTCTTATACAAACATAAACATAATAACTGAAGAATAAAACTAAATGTCTTAGTCATGTCATATAACAATTGCAAGCAAAACAAAAACTGACTAGACAATATTGTAAGTTTGCATGAAATTGGCTTGGCAATTTATGAGATGTTGTTTAAAGATCAAGTTTACGGAGGAATGATAGACAAAAGCTCGCAATGTCACTTTGTAAGCTAAAAACGCACTACTTTACTCTTTCACTCTTTCAAGTTTCAGTGCCCTGGCCATTGTGTGTATTTTGGTGTTGACTGCTTTGGTGACTAAGCTACTCTCCATATTTAGTTTATTGATGCAGTACACTGAAAAAAAGAAGGTTTATTTTTCATTTACATGTTACCATGTTTATACTGAATAAAACTAGAACTATCACTGAAGGTGAATGATACCCCAAAAACCCCACCTTGAAATAAAGTGGCAGTAATCTATTAGTAAAGCCCACCTACAAATGAAGAAAATAAACACAAAGGCAATTATTATTTATTGGTCAATACACTGGTGCTGGCTTGATTTTGATCTGTTGGGATGAACATGTATTTGCATTGCAAAACCTAGATTTATTTACAAATGACAAGTGGCTCATATATTATAAGTTTATCTAACTTAGTTAAAGAATCAAGGTATTATGTTAAAAACACACCAAAATAACAAACAAGAGCGATCAGTGATCACATGGCCTCATGATGGCCAATTTCATGTTGGGACAAGTTTTGTGACAGTAGGACAGACAGACAGACAGTGCACAACAAGACTTGGTACTGATCATTCCTTTAAAGTTTGGATGAAATTGCACCAGTAGTTTTTGAGGAGTAGTCCGGACAAGTTTTGTGACGGACGGACGGACAGACAGACAGACGATGGAGAAATGATCCCTATATGTCGCCACTACTCCGTAGAGGCGACACTAAAATGATGCATGCTGTGAACATGACAGCCTGGTCAGAGCTCAAAGTTAAAACCAGGGTCATTCAAATAACCATTAGGATTTTTCTTCTAAATGCCACTGTTTGTCAGAAAACAATGTTGACTAACCAGTCTTACTTGTATGCAAAACTCACTTTTTCAATTATACATCAATAACAGTGGTTAAAATATACACAGATACTTTTCTGACAAATTCTAAATCATTACTGACATGATAACTGAGAAAAACTAGAAATGTGTCAATAGGACACGGATGCCCCCACAAGCCACTGTTCTGTCAATCTTATGACTCTAGGTCAAATAGTTTTTGGACTACATGTGCCACAAGTTGAAAACTAAAAATCAACAAAGGGCCATAATTCTGTTTAAATTTGGTTGCAGCAAAAGTTCCTTTATTACCATCTACACATTAAGTTTGTTAATCCCTGGAAGTTTAAGCAAAATCTGCCATCCGGTTAAAGAGGAGTTGCGTTCACAAAATTTCTACATAGTATATAGTGAAAAAATCAACAAAGGGCCATAATTCTGTTAAATTTGGTTGCAGCAAATATTCCTTCCTTTACTACCATCTACACATTAAGGTTGTTCATCTCTGGAAGTTTAAGCAAAATCTGCCATCCGGTTTAAGAGGAGTTGCTTTCACAAAATTTCTACATAGTATATAGTAAAAAATCAACAAAGGGCCATAATTCTGTTAAATTTGGTCGCAGCGAAAATTATTTCCTTAACTACCATCTACACATTAAGGTTGTTCATCCCTGTAAGTTTAAGCAAAATCTGCCGTCCGGTTTAAGAGGAGTTGCGTTCACAAGATTTTGGGACGAACTGACAAGTGCAACGTTATATGCTCCCACATTGTGGGGGCATAAAAATAATCTTATTTTACTTACATGTTAAACTGTCAAATCCTCTTTTGTGCCAGTCAGTATCTACTGAATTGGACATACCACTGCTGGTTTTACAGGGAAATTTCGGGGAAAGTCTTAATCAGCTGTGAGGTTTTTCAAGATGTGGACAACTTCTGATTTTCAACCTTTGACAGTCTGTGAGAACTGTAATTGTAAAAATATTTCAAAAATATTTTCTGTAATTTAAAATTCATCTTTAAACGTAATATTGACAAATATTGAGAAACTACACCAATGAATTGACAATAACTTATTTATAATTAATGTAACACAATGTTCATACTAGAATTAGTTTTGTTAATTATTAACAGTGTTTCTGCCAGAGCGCGTTTTTGCGTTTTTGGCGCACATTTTCAGCCATGACGCAATGAAATTTAGTTAGTGCGTATTTTGTGACGCAAGAATTTCACCGTCGCTGATTTCAACACAAGTCAGATATACAGACTATAAACCGTCCAAACTCCTCACAGTGATTACCTCCCTTGGCAGAATTGTAATCACTGCCTTCAAAGACGTCACATGATGATGAAAGTCACATGACGTAACGTCGAAATTCAAATGTAAATATCGACCGTTACATAGAAAATCTAACGTCATTTTTCTCTTTCTGTTTTATTTTTAACTTTTAGTGCCTACGTTCGATATAGTTTATCAAAAAATTATCAAAAGTGTACAAAATAACGAAAAATAAATTCAAAAGCTAAAAAATATAAAATATCAAAATATTGTCTCGGTAGAAAATATTCTCATAATTTTAAAATTATTTCTAAATATTCATATTATTTATTTATTTATCCATAAACATTGTTTAATCAATGAGAAACAACTTAACTGATAGATAAAAGCAGTAAATAAAACAATTTTTGAAAAAAATATAGTATATCAGAACTTCTGATATATCGGGACCTTGGTGGCAGAGATCTACGCCGAAGCATTGAGGGGAGATCACTGCGTGGAGATTGTAAACCGTCAATTCAGTATAAAAATGTACGGAATGTTTACCGTGGGCTCCACTATAATTTTAATGAGAAATGAAATTTACCGGGTCCGTGGTCCGGCATTTAGCCAATTTCAACTAGTTAATAAACGCTTGCATTTATACGTTACTGCATATATTGAAAGCGCCCAGACAAAATTATTTATTTTGTTGTCGTCATATTCTGCGAACGAATAACTGTCTGCTGGAAAATGCAGTCTGCGTATATGTTAGTGTTCATCTGTGCTGTTCTACAGAAATTAGAAACTTCGAAGGGAGCGATAGCGACAGGAGAATGTTTCTAATTTCTGTAAAACAGCTAAGGATGAACACTAACATAGTTAGTGTCAAGCTTTATTTGGCCCTTGATTACGTCACTAGGCGGTACTACGAAGCACTATGAAAATTAGAAGGCGACTATGAACGAATTTCAATATAGTATCGACTTTCTTTCTTCTATGAAAACTAGAACTGCCACTATCATGGCGTGAATACCCCCGCATACCACTTTGTCAGAATAAACAGTGGCCATTTAGAGCTCAAGGACAACCTCCCTGCCAAATCTGAGGTTACTAAGCCAGTGCATTGCTAAGTTATGTATTGTACATGCTTCAAATGTGAAAATGTCAAAATCAATACATTGCGGACAGGACATTCTTTAGCAATTGAGAAGAAAAGCTTCTCTTTTTTTGTCAAGGTCCCTGTGACCTTGACCTTTGACCCAGTGACCTCAAAATCAATAGGGGTCACCTTATAGTCATGATGAACATCCATGCCAAATATGAAGACTGTGGGTCAAAGGAATCTTAAGTTAATGGGTGGACAAACTTTTTGAAGTCAAAGTCCCTATGACCTTGACCTTTGATCCAGTGACCTCAAAATCAAAAGGGGTCATCTACTAATCATGATCAACATCCATGCCAAATATGAAGACTGTGGGTCAAAGGAATCTAAAGTTATTGGGCAGACAAACTTTTTGAAGTCAAAGTCCCTGTGACCTTGACCTTTGACCTGGTGACCTCAAAATCAATAGGGGTCATCTACTAATCATGACTAACCTCCATTCCAAATATGAAGACTGTGGGTCAAAGGAATCTTAAATTATTGGGCGGACAAGCTTTTTGAAGTCAAAGCCCCTGTGACCTTGACCTTTGACCTGGTGACCTCAAAATCAATAGGGGTCATCTACTAATCATGACTAACCTCCATGCCAAATATGAAGACTGTGGGTCAAAGGAATCTTAAGTTATTGGGCGGACAAGCTTTTTGAAGTCAAGGCCCCTGTGACCTTGACCTTTGACCTGGTGACCTCAAAATCAATAGGGGTCATCTACTAATCATGATTAACCTCCATGCCAAATATGAAGACTGTGGGTCAAAAGAATCTTAAGTTATTGGGCGGACAAGCTTTTTGAAGTCAAGGCCCCTGTGACCTTGAACTTTGACCTGGTGACCTCAAAATCAATAGGGGTCATCTACTAATCATGACTAACCTCCATGCCAAATATGAAGACTGTAGGTCAAAGGAATCTTAAGTTATTGGGCGGACAAGCTTTTTGAAGTCAAGGCCCCTGTGACCTTGACCTTTGACCTGGTGACCTCAAAATCAATAGGGGTCATCTATTAATCATGACTAACCTCCATACCAAATATGAAGACTGTAGGTCAAAGGAATCTTAAGTTATTGGGCGGACAAGCTTTTTGAAGTCAAGGCCCCTGTGACCTTGACCTTTGACCTAGTGACCTCAAAATCAATAGGGGTCATATACTAATCATGACTAACCTCCATGCCAAATATGAAGACTAAGGGTCAAAGGAATCTTAAGTTATTGGGCGGACAAGAAAAAACCGACGGCCGGACGGACGGACGGCCGGACGGACAGCCGGACGGACGGACAAGCTGATTCCAGTATACCCCCCTTACAACTTTGTTGTGCGGGGGTATAATTAACACACATAATTTTTAAGAAATACAGCGTTATTATTGGATGACAAATAATCCAAAATAGCAGAGATTGACCAATTTCTTCACGAAAAATATACAAAATATTGTAAATAAAACATATAAAGTGTAACCTGTTTTTTTTTTTTACATTTTTGTTAAATTTATTGGCATGACCCTTATGAATTTGAAATGACCCCTAAAATATCATACAGGGGGTCATAAAAGACCCTCAGAAAATCAGAGCTGGCAGAAACACTGTTATTAATGCTGATTGCACAACTTTTTCCTGACCAATTTTAGCAATCACTTTTATGAAATAATTCGGACTGCATATCGATTATTCATCACATGAAGACACATCAAATTGTTTCTATTGAAGACGACCCCAAATAGCATTACAAAATTATCACAGTATTATCATTTAATTGCTACACCATGATTATAAATATATATAAAAAAACCTCATAGATTTCAACTTACAGTTTAATAGCAATTTTTGTTTGATGTATTGTTGAGGATTGTTCATCACAATTGTATAAATCTGACCATTCACTGTCATTTGTAACTGTAGCATCTGACTGAAGAATAGACCTTGAATAAAAAAAAAATACATATGTACAAACAGTATATGGAGAGATATTCATATATTGAAGCAACTGACATAACACAAACAGTTCAACAACACCAGTCAGTTTTGCATAGTCCTTTACTTTCGTAAATAAACAAAATACAGAAAACAAACTACCAGTACTCACTTTAGTGCTGGCGAGGCATCTGGCAAAGGACATCCTCCAAGATCTTGTCAATAAGATCTTCCATGATGTTGTGTTCTGATACCATTGATTCTTCATGATGCACATCCCTTAAAAAGAATGCATGTATTTAATAAGAATTTTAGTCTTAAACCAATGAAGGTAAAATATGATAAACAAGATCAACAAGGAAAGGCGACGTTCAATGAACGCAACCCCCATATGACCCAGCAACAAGTACCAATGGCAAGGAGCCCAGGCGGACCCAGTTTGTCATGTAGAAATAAATACTTTTTTTAAAAAACAATTACACATTCATGTTATTTTGAAACTAGAAATGTGTCCATAGGACACGGGTGCCCCCACCGCAACACTGTTCTGTCAATCTTTTTACTAAGTCAAGGGAAATAACTCTACAAATACTGGATAAATCCACAAGCGAAACCCCAGGTGCAAATCTAAAATATGCTGAGCAACCTGCCCATAAGGTTTGTCTATTTCAAATCCTTTTTGAGAAACTTTCGACACAAGTTGAAAATTGCAAAAATTTTCTAAGTGACAGGCAATAACTCTAAAAATACTAAATAAATCCAGACGAAAATACCTGGTGCACAACTGCACATGCTAATCAATATTCCTGTAAAGTTACATGACTCTAGGTCAAATACTTTTTGAGTTATGTGCGACACATGTTGAAAATTGCCAAATTTTACTTAGTCAAGGGCAATAACTCTGAAAATATTAAAAATATCCAGACGAAAATACCCAGGTGCACAACTACACATGATGATCAACATTCCTGTAATGTTTCATGACTCTAGGTCAAATACTTTTTGAGTTATGTGCGACACAAGTTGAAAATTGCAAAATTTTACTAAGTCAAGGGCAATAACTCTAAAAATACTAAACATATGCACACGAAAATACCCAGGTGCACAACTACACATTCTGATCAACATTCCTGTAAAGTTTCATGACTCTAGGTCAAATACTTTTTGAGTTACGTGCGACACGTCACAAGTTGAAAATTGCAAAATTTTACTAAGTCAAGGGCAATAACTCTGAAAATATTAAAAATATCCAGACGAAAATACCCAGGTGCACAACTACACATGCTGATCAACATTCCTGTAAAGTTTCATGACTGAAGGTCAAATAAATTTTGAGTTACATGCGACACAAGTTGAACATTGCAAAATTTTACTAAGTCAAGGGCAATAACTCTGAAAATACTAAAAATATCCAGACCAAAATACCCAGGTGCACAACTACACATGCTGATCACCATTCCTGTAAAGTTTCATGACTCTAGGTCAAATACTTTTTGAGTTACGTGCGACACAAAAGTGAACGGACGGACAGAAGGACGAACGGAAGGACGGACGGACAGACGGACAAGGGTAAATCTAAATGCCCGCCACTAACGTGGGGGCACAAAAAGAAATATGTACATGAATATAGAGTAACATGCAAAAACAACAAAGCCATTGTTTAAAAATTCTTTTCTCATATATATATGGATTGTATAATATTCTTTGGTTCCCTAAACCACGAGTATACCAGCAATATAGGATTATACCATGATAAGCTGCATAGACATAATAATTACAAAATAATTTTTCAAATTCTTCCAATTCAATTACATGTTATTTCGAAAATATCATTGTAAATGTGTCTTACTCAATTTCCTTGATCTTTCGCAGCAGATTCTGTCGACATAGACAGATAGAAGCCACTGTCTCAATGATATTTCCAACACGTCTCTCCATTTCTTTTCATGTTTTTATTTCCAATTGTTGGTATATTGAGTGTTGACAACAAATTGTTGACCCTCCCCTCACCGGCCCACCTACACTATCAATCATTGCTGTAAGAAAATGAAAAGAAACAAATTATTTCATTTAAGTATACAAATATTTTGTCAAAAAAAACTTCACATGGATTGTAATTTACATAACCATGATAATAACACATTGCATAAATTTATATAGAGCTATTTTTAGCTGCCTCATGTACATTGTATGTTGAATATTACTGTGACTGTGGGTATTGGCAGCCTAGTGAAAACTGTGTCTTTTATATAATGTACATGTATGATTCTGTAATGTCTTAATAAAAATTGCTGTACAGGCCCGTACGGCTAGCCAAAAGTTCTAGCCGTACGTGAGTCATGTACGACTAGCCAGGACACACTGTATTGGCTAGCCGTACGGCACTTTTCAAAATTAAATGGAGTACGTGAGTCACGTACGGCTAGAACTTTTGGCTAGCCGTACGGGCCCGTACGGCTAGCCACTTCTTTCACAATAAGGAGTAGTGTTTTACAGCTCAAGCCTCAACACAAACAAGATACATGTATTCTGTATAATAAATTAATTATTTATAAATCTGAAACATAAATTTGGTCCGCATAATTTTACATCATTGGAAGACAAGTAGATAAACACTGATAAATGTATATTCATTTTGGTTAGCTTAAGGTCTTCAGCGTACCCGTTAATATACTATGACATGACATGAACGCTGAAGATAACCCCGTAGGGAAAGTCCACCAATAATCGTGCCAGGAATCTGACACGCTCGTATTTAAATTAATTTATTCATCGAACATGCCATGAAGTAAAGTGAAGCATACCTTGATAAAACTATATATAATCTGTTGTTAATCTAAAGTATGATGCAATACATTAATCGCTTACCTGGTCCTAATTTTGTGTTGACAACGAAACATGGCATTCCAACTTTCCCAGGTCTTCAATCTTCTACTACTAGAGTCTGTGTTTTTCCATAGGGAACACAATTCACATGACCGCATAATTTCTGTGTTTCGACATTTCACATACAAATATCCAGACACACCCTGTTTAAATTCACCTGTTCAACATGTTGTCAAAAGTTAATGGTAGCCTACTGGTCCAAGTCTACATTTTTTACAAAATCTTAGGGTTGACCGTAACACGCCAAACTCGAGTCTCAACGATTCTTCTTCCCTTTTTCCAACCCTCATTATCAACCGATTTAGGAAGAGTTGATGTTTTGTAGAGCTGGTTTGTTTGACCCGTAATACTGGTTACCTGCACTATAGTTATGTTCTATAATTAAGTCGGGATACTTGGGTTTTCTGCATCTTTTTACACTTTTTTTTAATCGACCGAGCGTATCACGCCTGTAAGACGCCATGTTAGATATCTACGGAAATTACGTCATTTTCTTGGGGAATACTACCACGTGACCGGGGATATCCGCTATTATTAGAATTCCGACTTTATACGTAAAAAAACGAAGTTCGTTACGATAAATCGCGAGATATGGCGGTAATTGTCGAAGATTGCCGATTTCATTATGGGTCTTCTACCTTATAATTTTTTAACTGTTATTGTGAACTATAATACCCTCCATGATACATATGATGTTTCAATTTGATAACTCTTAGGCAAAAAATAAAAATATGTTTGTTTCCACTTCTCGACCCATTAAAATAGGGTTGGGTAGGTAGGTAGGTAGGTAGGTAGGTTATATATAGGTAGGTACATGAAGGACTTTTTTTATATGTGCATAATAGTATAATTCCTTGGCAAAATAGTTATTTACTGAACAAAGTTGATTAACTTTCAGAACTGATGTGTTTGTGGCGATTATCTGGCAAACTTGTTTTTATAGAAAAGTTTCTGGTGAACTTTCAGTGAATATTTTTTTTCATAGAAAGATTCTGGCAATCTCTGGCAAATTAGTTTTCCACTGAAAGTTTCTGGCAAACTTTTGGCGAACTACTTAATATTCTGGTGAATTTGCCGCAAAGTCGCCAAATGTTTGCTACAGAGTTGCCACTAGTGGCGATATCTGGCAAACTCTTGACACAGTGTTTCGGCGAACTAAAAGGTTTGCAGCGAATTTGCGGCAAAGTTGCGGCGAGTTTGCGGCAAACTTTTCCTTTTGGTACGGGAACAGAAATCAACCATAGCATGTATAACATTATTATTTTCTCCCTCAATAAATAAATGTCGACATTGAAATTGGTCAATTATTGGAAAGCTTATTTGTTGAATCGTAGTATTTAAGTACTAAGATTTACGCCAGGGAGTAATTATGTGTATAATATTAGTTATAAAGATTGCTGACAGGTTATATGGCCCTATATAAACGGCTGTTTGTAAATATAGCCCGAGCCGCTAGGCGAGGGTTATATTACAAACAGCTGTTTATATATGACCATATAACCTTTCAGCAATCTTTATAACGAATTTATAATACTGCAAACTTCTTTTTCTTCAGATAAAAGTGAGATTTCTCCATGAATTCAGAGCAGCCGTGTATATAAAACTTTATTACCCTTCCAGATTTTTTCCTTGTTTTTGATTGGATATTGGTCCCCCGAAAGAAATGACCGAGCCAGACGGGTAATATATACACTAAATTTCCCCGTTAGGTACCCCACGTTGTAAACAACATGCGCTGTGGCGATGGGATTTAACTCAATACAGGATTGGAGCAATACCTGTAGACGCTTGCAGAAATCATGATCACAAAATAGACAAATATCGTTTTTTTCGCCGATTTTTACATTTTTCATTCATTATCAGACATAAATCGGTGTGAAAAGATGAATTAGACGTTTTAAAGTTCATTCCGTTGGGTGAAAAAGCAAGATTTTAGCATTTTATCATTCAAGCGCCTTGTCCGGTATATACCGGAATACGGTATTTAGTGTGGTGCTCCAATCCTTTTTGGCTTGCAGCCACGGCTGCAAGCCATTTCATATGGAAAACCTATTCCGGTTAGGTGGTTTTCTGCTTCCATTTGTAAGTGCATGTTTGAACGGGAAACCAGCTGAAATCGTGCCAATCGCAACTTTACGGCCTTTTTCGTCACTCTTCGGATTAAGGATAATAGCCGATATAGTTCCGATTGCAATCGTGACAATTCGGGCGATTCCGTCATACTGCATAATCAATCGAATGCTGCGGAATCAGAATATTAGGGGGCAGGGGACCTAAAAATGAAAAAATTTGTATTTCAGTGTGACCAGAAACACAATTCCAAATATTTCAAAATCTGTTTCACAGGCAGATAACCAGTTGCACAGCATTATTCAATGATATATGACATACATTGAAGAAAATAATAGTTTGCATGCATTGCTCCTTCAAAAAATGACTGACAGCAATTTATATTTACCCCCACCCAGCCAAAATCACACCTAAAAAAATACCAATATGGGCAATCTTCATGAAGGTGCAGCATACTCCAGAATCCGCCCGATTCCTTTAAAAATATCAGTAACACGCAGTGCAAGCTATAGCATTTTCAGAAATGACAAATAAAGTGTCTGTCATACGTTTAGATTTTTCACAAAATTTATCTGAAATTTCTTACTTGTTTGGCGCCAACTGTCAAAGCTTGATTTTTAACTTTTTCACCTCCATTCGGAGAGTCAGAAATACATACAAAGCTACCAAAATGCTTAGTTTCGGGTAAAAACCCAAAAATATATCTCATTTCCTACACACAAACAAGAAAGAATTACAATGACAGAGAAATATCAGAAGTTATCAGTAACTTCAAAACACCATGTCTGAGTTATTAAAAAATTTGACCGGGGCCATCATACGAATATGTCCCCTGCCCCCTTAAGATTTTTTATGTGATCCGCATTAAAGCGTTTCCTTTTATTTTCTTAAAATATGGAGTATTTCGCATTAAACGTTAACTTCGAAAAGTGAATACTGCGGTTACTTTGTATTTAATCAAATATTTAAAAAAGACCCTATTTCAGGGGAAGTAACTAGTACAATGACCATGCCTGTTATATGATTTACTTAATATCAAGTGCCAGGAACCTGTGAGATGGTTATTTTTCTGTATTCCACCTTCATTTAAATACCATAAAGTATTTTCAGAGTATTTAAAGTCTTTTGGAAAGAGATTATAGCAAGAAAAACAATATTACAGCCACATTTAATGTCCCAAAATGAATTTTACAGGAAACCAGACCCCATTTATTCTGGCATACACCTGAAAGTGCAGTAAAGATACCACTGTTGACTTATATGACATTATATACATTTGTAACAATTAAAAGTGCTCAATTATGCATTATTATGTCAATTTGCACAATATAAAACTGTTAAATCTGGATAAATGTGCACATTCTGTGAAGTACAGTGTTTGCCAAAATTCCAAATTTTTATTACCTCCCTTGATTTTACAGTCTACTTACTCTACATAACTTGATAAATCCTACCAGTCACTTCAAATTTTGACTAACAAATGTAGAAGGAATGTTTATGGGCACATTTGGGTCAATTCCAACACATTTTATAAATTTGAAAATTTCCTTAAGGGGGCAGGGGACCTAAAAATGAAAAAATTTGTATTTCAGTGTGACCAGAAACACAATTCCAAATATTTCAAAATCTGTTTCACAGGCAGATAACCAGTTGCACAGCATTATTCAATGATATATGACATACATTGAAGAAAATAATAGTTTGCATGCATTGCTCCTTCAAAAAATGACTGACAGCAATTTATATTTACCCCCACCCAGCCAAAATCACACCTAAAAAAATACCAATATGGGCAATCTTCATGAAGGTGCAGCATACTCCAGAATCCGCCCGATTCCTTTAAAAATATCAGTAACACGCAGTGCAAGCTATAGCATTTTCAGAAATGACAAATAAAGTGTCTGTCATACGTTTAGATTTTTCACAAAATTTATCTGAAATTTCTTACTTGTTTGGCGCCAACTGTCAAAGCTTGATTTTTAACTTTTTCACCTCCATTCGGAGAGTCAGAAATACATACAAAGCTACCAAAATGCTTAGTTTCGGGTAAAAACCCAAAAATATATCTCATTTCCTACACACAAACAAGAAAGAATTACAATGACAGAGAAATATCAGAAGTTATCAGTAACTTCAAAACACCATGTCTGAGTTATTAAAAAATTTGACCGGGGCCATCATACGAATATGTCCCCTGCCCCCTTAAGATTTTTTATGTGATCCGCATTAAAGCGTTTCCTTTTATTTTCTTAAAATATGGAGTATTTCGCATTAAACGTTAACTTCGAAAAGTGAATACTGCGGTTACTTTGTATTTAATCAAATATTTAAAAAAGACCCTATTTCAGGGGAAGTAACTAGTACAATGACCATGCCTGTTATATGATTTACTTAATATCAAGTGCCAGGAACCTGTGAGATGGTTATTTTTCTGTATTCCACCTTCATTTAAATACCATAAAGTATTTTCAGAGTATTTAAAGTCTTTTGGAAAGAGATTATAGCAAGAAAAACAATATTACAGCCACATTTAATGTCCCAAAATGAATTTTACAGGAAACCAGACCCCATTTATTCTGGCATACACCTGAAAGTGCAGTAAAGATACCACTGTTGACTTATATGACATTATATACATTTGTAACAATTAAAAGTGCTCAATTATGCATTATTATGTCAATTTGCACAATATAAAACTGTTAAATCTGGATAAATGTGCACATTCTGTGAAGTACAGTGTTTGCCAAAATTCCAAATTTTTATTACCTCCCTTGATTTTACAGTCTACTTACTCTACATAACTTGATAAATCCTACCAGTCACTTCAAATTTTGACTAACAAATGTAGAAGGAATGTTTATGGGCACATTTGGGTCAATTCCAACACATTTTATAAATTTGAAAATTTCCTTAAGGGGGCAGGGGACCTAAAAATGAAAAAATTTGTATTTCAGTGTGACCAGAAACACAATTCCAAATATTTCAAAATCTGTTTCACAGGCAGATAACCAGTTGCACAGCATTATTCAATGATATATGACATACATTGAAGAAAATAATAGTTTGCATGCATTGCTCCTTCAAAAAATGACTGACAGCAATTTATTATTTACCCCCACCCAGCCAAAATCACACCTAAAAATATCCAATATGGGGCAATCCTTCATGAAGGGTGCAAGCATACTCCAGAATCCGCCCCGTTCTCCTTTTAAAACTATCCCAGTAACAACGGCAGTGCCAATCTATTACATTTTCAGAAAATGACAAATTAAAGTGTCTGTCATACGTTTAAGATTTTCTCACAAAAAAAAAAAATTTTATCTGAAATTTTTTACTTGTTTGGCGCCAAACTGTCCAAAGCTTGATTTTTAACTTTTTCCACCTCCATTCGCGAGAGTCAGAAATACATACAAAGCTACCAAAATGCTTTAGTTTCAGGAGTAAAAACCACAAAAAAATATATCTTCCCATTTCCGTAACACAACAAAAGAGAAGAATTACAATTGACAGAGAAATTATCAGAAAAAAAAAAAAAAATTTTATCCAGTACCTTCAAAAACACCCATGTTCTGAGTTATTAAAAAATTTGACCGCTGGCCATCAGTATCGAATATGTCCCCTGCCCCCCTTAAATTTTTTATGTTTCGATCCGCATTAAAGCGTTTCCTTTTATTTTCTAAAAATATGCGAGTATTTCGCATTAAAAAAATAAAAAATTCGAAAAGTAAGTACGGATACTTTC